ATATATTTGGCCGGGCCCGGCTTGAGCCAGGCACGGCAGCGGTGCATGCTCGATTTATACCTCGCCTTTAACCTTCTCCGTTTAAAGTTGATCGAGAGCTGCTCCAGCGGCGAAAGACCAGCCATCGGCTGACTGGTTGCCACCGGATCGCGGGCCGGGCTGGCCCGCGTCCCCGCGCGCCGCCCGCCTCTCGGCTGCGAGCCCCGGCGGTGCGGCATCAGGCGCGGCAGGCAACCTCCCAAGGGTGGAGGTGGCCACGTCGCCTGCGGCGGGCGCGACCCGCGGCAAACGGCCGCCAGAGAACCAGCCTTGGGGCCCACGTGAGAACGGATCAGACGGGCTTAACTCTGATGCAATCCAGCGAGTGTAGACACGAGAGCCCGAGGCCAAGCTGAGGGCCGCCAACTTACGAAGAGGCCCTTGAAGATGACGAGAGCGGGCCCGCCCCTTGGTGGCCGCAAGGGCCAGCGGTAAATTGTCAACCAGAGTCGCCAAGCGCTTCCCAAAAGCCTCTGAACTCCGCAGAAGATGACAAGCCCCAAGAACTAGCGCTTCTCCTTCGAGGCCCAAGATGTTCATGTCCTCAGAGATCTTCACCGCCGCGACTCCAGTCCAAGACGACTCCACCAAGATATCCTTCGGGACCTCGTCGAAGCAGGAATCCGAGACGCTCGGGAACTCCAAAGGCTGCAGAGAGCTGGGGAGAGGAGGTGATGAAATGACAAAATGGCCGAGGGCTCACTCGCGAGCGCGAGCGCCGCCCTCGACGCGACATCGCCAGCGCTCCGACTGGCGCCCTATCTCGGCGACCCGATCTGGAGGCAGCCGCCGACGCACCAACCCGAGCCCGAACTCCGACGCGTCGGAGGCGACGACCTGCGAGTGCCAGGGCGCCAGCAGGTCTGCCTGCAGCAGCGGCAGCAGACAGCGCACCTGCCAGAGCTCCCGCCTCACGCTCTGCCACAGCATGATGGGCTCAGACCCGGTCTCGGCAGCGAAGGCGTAGGCCGCCCGGGCCAGGCAGAGCGCCTCGCGACGCAGCAGCGCCGCCCAGGTGACGTGGCCGAGGTGGACCTCCACGAGCGCGTCGCTGCACTCGCCGACCCGCAGCAGCTTCTCGATCGCGAGCCAAATGCGCCAGAGGCACTTGGGCCGCGTCGCGAGGAAGCGGCCCCCGGACAGGCTGAGCCCAAGGAACGCGGAGTCGTGGCAAGCGGGCTCCTGGTCGTGCACCACAAGGCCCAGATCAACCAGCTGCTGCCGCACGGCCCGGGCCCTGCGGTTGGCGACGCCAGCGTCGGTGTCGATCGCGAAGTAGTTGTCAACGTACCCCGCGGCCACCGACGGCTGCCCGCGCTCAACGCGCCGCCCAGGCTGCCCGTCCTCGACGAGGTGGCTGGGCGAAAAGCCACCCAGGCTGAGGCCTCGCCGAAGCGCGCCTCGGCGCAGGTACAGCGCCCACGAGAAGCCCATCGGCAGCACGCGCAGACGCGGCGCGATGGGCTCGCGGCTCGCCTGCGCCGGCAGGCAATCCAGTGGCGCCGCAGCTCAGTAGCAGCCCCGCGTCCAGGCTGGGGAGCGAGAAGTGGTCGACCATGTCGGGCGGCGCCAGCACGTGGTAGAATGCAAACTCCAGGTCTCCCAACGCAATGAAGACCCTCTCGTCGGCCTCCAGCGCCCCGATGGCTGATGGCGTCGGGGGGCGAGTAGAGGGAGCAGGCAGTAAGTCGCTGCTGATCACCCACGCGTCGAAGATGATGCGCAGGTGCTCGTCTTTACGACGCGCGAAGAAAAGTCCGAGGTCCCCGCCGCGACCGCGCTTCCAAGTCAGCATGCCTCGACGCCAGGCCTCCCTCAAGAAGGCGCTGTAATCGCGAACGCCATGATTCAGCAGCGGGTCGACGTAAGCGCCCCGCGGGCAAGCCTCAGCGTGGAGGCTCCGAGCGGCCTGGGGCGGTCGCAGCACGCGCTCCTTCCATCCCCTGAGCCACGAGGCGCCCGCATCCCCCGGCAGGTCGGTCAGGTGCGCGGGCTTGCTGGAGAGGGGCGGCCAGGCGATCTCGTCGCCGTCGAAGGGGGCAACGGGCCCGCCACCACTGGAGTAGCCTGGAGCGCCTGACAGGAGCGCACACGGGCCCGCTGCCCTGAATGTTGATCCGCAGGAGGGGGCCGACGCGCCGATAACTCCGGCGAAGATGTTCGAGGGCCAAGCGCTGGCCCGCGTTGGGGCCGACGTCGGAGCGGGAACCAAAACTGCCATATAAGTCGTTCAGCACGGTGACGCCCTCGGAGGCCCACTCGTCAGCATGGGCAACGCGAAGGCGACGACGGACCGCGCAGCGGCTATGAAGTCCATGGCAAAACTGCTGGGGCATCGGCTCCCAAAAAAAAAAAGAAAAAAAAAAAAAAATAAAATGAAAAAAAAAAAAAAAAAAAAAATAAAAAAAAAAAAAAAAAAACAAAAAGTTCATGGAAAAATAAACAGTATTGCAGGACTTAAGGGCAAAAAACTGTTGGCAATAGGCTCCAAGGCAGTCAGGGGAAACGGGTCGCGCTGGCGGCCGCCCCGCATGCCCTAGCAGAGCGGGCGCCACCACGGGCTAAAGGGCGAGCGCAGCGCGGGCATCCCAACTCCCGCGCTGCAAGGCAATCGCGCCTCGGCCCCCTGCCCCCTGCCCCCGCTGGCCCTTCTTGCCAGATCGCTTGGCATTGGGCTTTGGGAGCGCTCGTTCCTCGCGCGCCTTGCGGCGCTCCTTCGCCAGCGACGCCTCGCGCGCCTGCTCAGCACATGCGTCTGCAACAGCGGGCAGACACACATATTCCCTCGTGAGTGCTGACTCCCAAGTAACAAGTGCCAGTCGAAACTCCGTCGTCCTGATCCCCATTGAGGAAGTGGCGGTACCTTTCCTCCTGGACTTGCAGCGAGCGGCGCGCGATCTCGAACGAAGTCAGCGACGCCGCGTTCACCTGGTCGTAGCACGCGCCCCCCTGCAAGATGCGGCAGCACTCCTCGTGCTCGACAACTCTAGGATCGGCATCGGCGAGGCGAAAAGTGGACTTGAACAGCGTGCGCTTGCCCAGAGGGGTGCCGCCGTGCTCGCAGATAAAGCGGCACACCCAGAGACAGGTCCGGGGTCCCGAAAGTCTCCTATCGGGCCAAGGGTATTCCACCAGCCGAGGGACCCATCTCTAAACTCGACGTCGCGCTGCCCAAGCATGTCATACGCCACAGCCTACACTGTGGGATGAGGAGAGGCGGGCAGGGCGGCAGCTGCACCAGGGGCAGCCGCGATCGCCATCAGCGGGGCGGCATCGGCGGGTGCCACCGCAGCCACTGCGGCCGCGCCAGGCACCGCTGGCGCGCCTGCTCCTTCGCCAGCAGGTGGCAGCACCGCGGGCGCCAGCGGCGGGACGGCCAGAGCACCAGGAGCAGCCGGCGCGGGCGCGACAGGGGCCGCTGCGCCTCCAGGCGGCAGCCGCGGGGCCAGCAGCACCCGCCACGGGGCCTCCGAGCGCAGCCACCAGAGCGCCCACGCCGCCCGCCAAGCCTCCAGCGGGTCCGCCTCCAGGTCCCCCACCACCAGCGGCGGCAGGTCCAGCTGCAGCTCCAGGCTCAGCGAGTGCGCGCACCCCAGCGGGCAATCCCAGCACGTTGCCAGCACCCAACTCCAGGTTCAGCACCCGTGCTGGCGGCCGCGGGAAGCCAGAAGCCATCGCGCGCGCGATGGCGGCCCGGGCCGCAGCGGCAGTCGGCAGTTGCCGAAATCGATGCACGTGCCCTCCGCCGAGCCCGCCTGGAGTCGCCCCCTGGCCCGCGATCCTGAGGACCTCTGCCACGTCGGGCCCAGGAGCATTCGCCTCGTCGTAGTCGTCGCCGTCTGGAGTCATGATATACGACAGGGCACCCCTCTCCCCGAGCGCCAAGCGCTCGTGCCACAGTGGCGGACCCGCAACGCGGTACCGCACCAGGTAAAACGAGTCCGCCATCACCGCGACTGTAGTTGCCGAAGCCGGCTAGCATGCGCCTGCGCAGCGGCGAGCTCTGCCAAGTCGATCTCCACGAACGTGGGGGCTCCCGCCACGGCCTGCGCAGGCTCCGGCCCGAGCGGGCTGGCTGAGCCCTGCGCCGAGCCGCCGCAGCTGGAGGCCAGGAGCCCCCTCGGCACCAGCAGCAGCCGCGCGGCAGCCCCCAGCAGCAGCTCCCCAGCCTGCAGGAAGAGCAGGCCGAGCAGGCTGATGACCAGCTGGCTCCACCGCGAAAGCCCCGCGTCGCCTGCCGCGGGGCAAGCCGGGCCAGGGGCCCACGGCGCAGGGCGGCTCTGCTCCTCGGGGGCCCCCACGGCGGCCGAGATGCGTTCCGAGAGCGGCACGAGGCGGGCCCCCCACCTCACAAGCCTCCCCCGCGCTGTGCCCAAGGCCAGCGCTGGCTGAAGGCGGCGTCGACGGCACCGGCGATACCCACGGCGCAGAGAGCCACCACCAGCGCGCCAGGCCAATCGCGCTGAGGTGAGCAAAGAACGAAAGCCCGACCCCTCGTGCCTGCAAGGGGGCGAGGGCGCTGCGCCCTCAAAGACTTGCGCAAGTACGTCGACGGGCAACGTCGATGCGGCGATCATTTACCTGCTCTGCACATCACTTCTGCTTGTTAAAAGCGGACATCATCATCATCATCATCATCATCATCATCATCATCATCATCATCATCATCATCATCATCATCATCATCATCATCATCATCCCTACTCCCCATCCTCTGTTCACTCTGCTCCCCCCCCCCTCCTCCTCCACCTCCCGCTCCCTCCCTTCCTCCTCCCCTCCTCCCCCTCCTCCTCCTCCCCCTCCTCCCCCTCCCGCTCCTCCTCCCCCTCCTCCTCCTCCCCCTCCTCCTCCTCCCCCTCCTCCTCCCTCTGCCCCTCCCCCGTTGTTGCCTGCTGTCTCCCCCCCCTTGACGCAGAGACTGTCGGGACGAGAGCTCCGGCCCCGGCCCCAGCCGCGGCCGCTCCTCTCTCAGGAAGGGCCGCAGGTCGAACCAGAACTGCAGCTTGAGGTCCAGCGCGAGGGTGCTAGCCGCCGACACCTGCGCCGAGCGCAGGTACACCTCGTTGAACCGCAGGTCCCCGGGACACCTCACCTCAGCGCGCAGCTCTGGCAGAACCAGCTCGAGGCACCACTACAGAGAGAATCTCGTGCGGCCTGGACCGAGACGCGCGTGCCGCCGCGAAGTGCCGCGCACGAGCCGCACCCCCCCCCCCTCCCTGTGTTTCCACGCCTGCGGCTGCGACCGAAGCCGAGGACACAGTCGTCCCGTATCAGAAAGACGCCCGATAAGGATGCAAGGGCCTTGGAACGCCATTTCGCGGCTTTTCGAGCGGGGCGCGGCCAACGAGAGCGGCCAAGGGATGGGCCGAGGAGGGAAGGATGAAAAGGTACCCTTGTGAAGGTTGCCCGTCCTTACCATGCGGGTCGACTGTAGAAGGAAAGAGGTACGGGGGTGGAAAGACAATCAGAGGAGAGGAGACGCATCGCCACGAGAGGCGGCTCCTGACGGGGTCTGCACCATGAGATTCCGCCAACAGCAGCACAGTCGGGCAGGCAGTGCGGCTCGCCTGGATTTGGGGCGAACGCCACGCGTGCCATCCGTACACCACTTGCCGCACTGGTGAAGCCGAACGCCCAAAACAGCAACAGAGGGAGAGGGGACGCTGGCAGCAACAAAAATACATCTACCTCTGTTTATGTTGGCACGATTTTCTACTCCACAATAAGCGCAATTGCCTAGCAAGCAGACGTGAAATAGCGCGCTGACGTGGGGTTCAGCCGAGCAGTACTCGCTGGTATTACCGCGCGTGGCAATCAGATAGTGTCCAGCCGCGGAGAACTCATACATGCGCGCCTACGAATCAGCGCTGCCGGTGCCAAATACACGTCCCATCACTGGAAAAAGATACAGAGCGAATCCATCGTCGGCTTCCGCGAGCGTGGCAATCAGCTTGGGTCCAAAAGAAAAGAGCTCGTACAAGCGCGACTGCCACTGTCAAATGCGAAATACCTACCATCACTGGAAAAGATCTCGATCGAATCCCAATGACGTGGCTGGCTTCCGCCAGCGTGGCCGCTAATGCGGGCCCTGCCGCAGAGAGATCATACAAGCGCGCTTTTGCGTCCCAACTGCCAGCCATCACTCAAAAAGAGATACTGACAAAATGTATCCGCTGACTTCCACCAGCGTGGCAATCAGCTTGCGTCCTGCCGCGGAGAGCTCGGACAAGCGCGCAGTGGTGTTCGAAATACCCGTGCCGACATGCTTGCCACCACTGCCCGTGCAAGCGAGCCTTTTTGACAGCACTGCCAGTCCCAAACTACTTGCCATCACAAGACAAAGAACACCGACTAAACCTGACTGGAGGCTGCTGGCGTGGCAGTCAAATCGGGTCCTTGCGACAAAGAGCTCGTACAGGCGAGCCTTACAGTCGGCACTGCCAATGCTTTAAACATCGTCCCTGGACTATGTTTTAAACTGTTTCGCATAATTTCACTCGTAGAGGGACGTGCCCGACATGACCCCGGTTTCGTCTCATGCGCCCTGAGCCAAGCGCACCGCGTCATTCTCGTCCTGAGGACGGGGGGGAGCAGGCAGGCCCGACGGCCATCCCCCACCGCCCGCCACCCGAGGCGGCGCGCGTTGCAGCCACCCGCGCCGCTGGCGCGGGTGGCAATCGCTTTGGGTCCTGCAGAGAAGAGCTTGTGCAAGCGCGCCTTTGCACTCCCAACTGCCAGTGCCGCAATACGTATCACGACTGGAAAACGATACCGACGGAACGATACGACTGACTCCCCCAAGCGTGGCAGGCATATTCCCATAACACGATCGACATGATGACAAACAACTCTCGACACATGTGCTTTGGTTCTCATCCCATGGAGTCGTGAGCGCCAACACATGACAAAGAGTAATTACACCAGAGGAAGACCTAATCAGTGGATGGCTTTCTTATGAGTGATGTGGAAATTGAAATCGACTGTGAGATCGATCGTGAGATCGATAGTGGGATCGACAGTGATGACGACAGTAAGGACTAAGGTCGGTCGTGAGACCCATGGTGAAGTCGATTCAGTGCGATCGATAGTGAGATCGATCGTGAGATCTCTTGTGCGATCTATAATGAGATCGATTGTACGATCGGAAATGAGATCGATGGTGATATCGATGGTGAGATCGATTGAGTGAGCTCGATCGTGGGATCCCGAAATCGGTCCAGAACCAGCAGCCGGGAACCCGGGAACCTGGGAACCCAGCTAGCCACCGAGATCGGCCTGGGACTTTCGCCAAATGTCCCAATACCCGCCAGGACCCCTCCAGTGCAAGCACTGATTGGGGAATCAGGAACATGCCGGTGACTGCGGACAGGTGCCGCGACGCTGCGAGCCAGCGGGGAAGCGCACGCCCAAGCTCTGCGCGCTCGACTGAGCCCGGAGCTGCTCGAGCCGACGTGGCTGCTGCAGGCCAGGACCGAGAACTCCGGGCCCAGCCCCCTTCGGCGATGGTAGCGCACTGCAGCTCGATAAGGGGGCCACGTGCGAACCCGACCCCCACCCCCCACGGTTTCTGAGGGGAGGGGGGGGTTCGCTTCGCTCGGGAGCTCCCGAACGAAGTGAACCCCACCCTGGGCCTCAGAAGTCGTGGGGGGTAGGGGTAGGGTTCGCATGTGGCCCCCTATCGAAAGCATCTCGGCATCCGCTCCCGAGCGAAGTGAACCCCACCCTCCCCCTCAGAAATCGTGGGAGGTAGGGGCAGGGCTCGCACGTGGCCCCCCATCGAAAGCATCTCGGTATCCGCCACGCGTGGCTGCCACCCAAGCCACCCAGAGCTTCGCGCCTGCGCAGCGCGCTGGCCTCCGCGCGCTCCCGCGCCGCCCCTTCCTTGGCAAGGGAGAACAAGCCACTCCGCACCCCGGTTTTTTTACCGGGGAAAACTGAAGGGGCCCTGGGACACACAAATAAATACACACAAATAGAACATATCCCCCATATTTTCCCATATGTTTGGGGTTTTCGTCTTCCCGCCCAATTCCATATTTTCCAATATTTTCTTTGGAATCCACAATTAATTGTGTCTGTGTGTTTTTTCCCCGCCTGATTTTTACAAGTGAAAACGAGGGGTCAGCGGACCTCCTCGTGACTTATCGAAGATCCGACATGGGGCGTCCACGTTCCTCGAGCGGGCCCGCGCGAGACGCACTCCTTCCACGACGAACGGGACTTTGCCTCGCTCTCTCATCGAGCGGAAATCCGCCGGCCCGCTCCCAACATGGCACCCAGGGACAGATTACAATCCAAAAAACCACAAGCGCGTTCCACTATTCGCAAAGTAACTACTCGCAAGTGGCCTGGATCCGAGGCGGGGGATTTACGATACACTACATCGAGGCAAGCATGTGTTTCTCTGACCCTGGGCCTACGCTCTTTCCGGGAAGAAATTAACCCTCAGTCGGAGCTAGAACTATGTGAGCACAGGCTCCGTGGCACGCCGACGTAATGGTCACAACGCTTCGCTCCCCCTCCCTCTTGCACTGGCGCTTCCGCGCCTCCGCTCTCACGACCGCTCCCCTGGAGATCGTTTTTTAGACTGGCTGGTGGGGATACTTTTTTGGTCGGCGGCTCCCAGGCGGCGGACAGGGAGCGGAAGGCGTCGTCTGGGCCAGCAGGCGAGGCGAATTAGCTATAACAGGCAACGCACCTGCAGTAATAAGTCGCAGAGAATGCGAGGTGTGCACATGCAGTGAGCAAAATGCCCCACATTAAGGCGAACGTACCTAGGCGCCAGCCACACCGAGGTGGAGCAGACCGCAGTGCTACGCAGCGGAGAGTCACCCTGTCAACGCCAGTCCGCGCAGCCGACCTAGCCGATCAGACAGGTAGCAACCAGTGGGGATATTTTTTTGGTCGGCGGCTCCGAGACGGCGGACAGGGAGCGGAAGGCGTCGTCTGGGCAAGCAGGCGAAGCTAAGTAGCTACAACAGGCAACGCACCTGCAGAAATACATCGCAGAGAAAGCGCATGTGCACATGCATTACCGGTGGGAATACGCGGAGCGTCAAGAGCCACACGAGAAGCCAAGCATGGAAAGAGCGCCAGACAGCGTGGCAGCGGGAAAGGATGACAGAGAGGCCGAGGACAGCACGGCGTGACTAACCGCCCCGTCGATCTCTTCCTCGAGCAGCGAGATGCCGCTCTCGAAGTAGCCAGAGGCACTGCTTTGGCAGACCTCGTCCCACGAAGAGTGTAGCAACTCCTGGCCGACAGGGCTGGGAGGTGAGATGCTCGTTTCTGGCATGCTTTTTCGTGTGCAACATCTTTTCCGTCGGGGTGGCGAGGGGGAGCGGGAGGAAAAGGGAGGGGGAAGCTGACGGGCGAGTAGGAGGAGGAGGAGGAGGAGGAGGAGGAGGAGTAGGAAGAGGAGGAGGGGCAGGAGGAGAGGAGACCTCCATCGGGCTCGATGCCTCCCGCCACAGAGCACCAGGACTGACTTCCTGGCCGATGCCCTCAACTGGCGTGCACGCACGTGGCTACATATTCGGGAGCGACCAAGAGGAGGGCGTCCAAGAGGGGGGGTACAAATCATGGCCGGCGGCATGTGCGCGGCCCAGCGGGGGGGCCAGGGACATAATGAAATAAGAAGGGGCGCCATGAAATCTGCGGAAATATCATGGCCCCCGCCATGATATCCCCCCTAGTCACCACCCCCCTCTTTGCCGCCCCTGACATATACCTCGTCGTGCCTGCCTGCCAGCTGCGCGCGCACGCACGAGCTCCAGGTCGCGCGGGCAGCTCGGGGAGCAGCGCGCAGATCCACTGGCCTCCTCGGGGGTCACCCGGCGAGCGAGGCCTCATTCCCCGCGGGGCCCAGCCTTGCAGCTCTGCAAAGGGGTTGCCTGGGGGCCTGGCTCCTCAGGAGGAGCCGTCGGGCGGCTGGCTGGCGCTCCGGCGGCCTCCGCAGGAGGAGCCAGACTGCCCGAGAGCGCCCGAAGACAGCGCACGGGAGCCCCGAGCTGTTTCCGGGAGCCCCCCCCCCGAAAGGCCCCCAAAAGCATGGGAAGAATCCCCAAAACGGCCTCAGAGGGCCCCTCCGCGGCGTTCCCCCAGTGGCTTCCCCCGAAGCTGGTGGGACACACACAATCCACTATCATGGCGCACTCCCGCTCCAAACTTCCTAGCAAGAGAGGGGCGGCGGTGACTCGCCGTGGACATCCTGATACTCAAACGAACCATGTATAGAAGAAACAACTGCATCAACATAATCTTTTGGCGCTCCGCGCGGATTTCTTGGATCTGCGCTGACCCCCCTCCCTGGCGCGCGGAGCGCGCCAGGGGTGTCGCCGGAGGCGCCGTCGGGGGGCCCAGCGCGGATCCAAATAACCCGCGCGGAGCACCGAAGGAGTATATTGATGGCGTTTCTTCCTCTTCAAATGTATCCCGACACCATCCCTCTGCTCACATTCCCCGCTCCGTTCGCCATTCGTCCCCCCATATCCCGCCCCATCCCCGAAGACCAGAACTGCACAGAGCCCCTTGGAAAAGGCAAGCCAGGGAGCAGGATGTGCAGAAACAGAGTGGGAACTCGAACGCGATCCAATTCGCTGCAGCCACGCCCCACTTGACCGTCCGCTCCCCCTGGCTCGCCTGCTCTACCACCCCGCCTCCCTCTCTTCCACCACCCCTCTTCTTTCCCCCCCCCCCGCCCTTCCTCCCTGACTTCCTGCTTCGCTCCTCTTTCCTCCCTCCTCCCGCCTTCCTCCTCCCTCCTCGCCCGTTCCCCTCGTCCCTCTGCCCGCTCACGCGTGAGTGCCACCCTCCGCTCTCTCCCCTGAAGAGACGCCCTGGGAGTCGCGCGCCCCCCTCCGCGTACAGGGCAGTTTTTCATACATGGGATGTTTAAACATATATATATATATATATATATATATATATATATAGGATTGTTGATAAATGTATGAGATGTTCAAATACATGTGATGTTGTTTTGGTTGTTATCCATGGGATGTTGAAAACTTAGGATGTTTAATCATATAATATAAAATTACGAATAAATGTATGCATGAACTCCTCGTTGCTTTTAATACAAAACCCTGCATTGTTAATACATGATCCGCACGCGGAGCATGTACTAAAAACGGCACCGTATGTTTTTTTGCAGACAGGATGGGTCCGAGCTCATCTCTCTTGTTTTTCCAACTCGAACGTTCTCTCGGTCATTCCAGGCCGGCGCTCCCGCTGCAGCGTGAGCCTCATTTTAGAGTCGGGGCTCTGCCCCCCGTCGTTTAGAACAGCGCTCTCGCCCCAGCATGGGGGCACTTTTCCTGGATCCGAGCCGTTCCTCATCGTTGTCGCCCCCCTCGTTTTCCCTCCTCCGCCTTCCTCTGGTCCTCCTGCTCCTCCCGCTCATTCCACTCCAGGTCCTGCTGGTGCTGCTGTTCGTCATGTGTTCTCCTCCTTCCTCATCCTCCTCCGTTTCCTCCTGCTCATGTTACGTATGCAACTCCCCATTCCCGATTGCGCAAAACACGATGGGTGTTTTTGAAGTTCCAGGTTTGCTATGACACGCGTCCGCGGATATACACACACACAAAAAAAATCGCGCAATGGGAAGGGGTGGGTGGGATGGGGTCGAATGTCAGATATGGCACGAGCGCACCTAGCTTGCCCCCCTCCCATTTTCTCCTCTCACCCTCGCTCCCCCCCTCCCTTTCCAACCCGAGTCGAGGCTGGCGTTTCAGGCGCTGCTCTGGCTCCTCCTCTTCCCTCGAAGCGCTGGCCGGTGACCAGCTGGCGCCTCTGTGCCCTGTATCCTTGTATGCCCCTGACTACCTGCCAGACCACCCCAACCCAACCCGAAGTCCCAAATTTCGGGCTTGGAGAGTATGAGTTCCACTTGTGTTTTGGCAATGTTCCAGGATGCCCCCCCCCCACTAGAAATGGAGGGCAACTTCGGGCCTTCGGGTTGGGTTGGGGTGATCTGGTGGGTGGTGATTTCCCCCCTGGCTGTGCCACATCACCCTCCCCCTCGCCGTCGCCCCCCCCCCCTTCTGCCATCGCCTTCCCCCCCTCCTCCCTTCTGCCATCGCCTCCCCTCCCTTTTGCCATCGTTCCACACTCTGCCTTCCTCCCTCCTTCTGCCATCGCTTGGGCGCCCCTTCCCCGCGCATGTTTCGGCCCCGTGCGCTGATTCTGTCGCAGGATGATCCGGGATGCTCTTCGATGGCTCTCGCCGAACAAAAATGCACACGTCCGAGCGATGCCAAGCCCCCCCGCCTTCCCATACCGCGAGAAATGGCCCGCCCCCTCGCCCAGGACCTGCGAGCGCGACATCGCGGCTGCTGCCCGAGCCAGCTCTGGCTCAGGGCTCGACTTAAACAGTAGGAGGGGGATGATGCTGATGATGATGATGATGATGATGATGATGATGATGATGACCAGCAGTCGGCGGACGATAGGTGACGACCACGGCAGCGCAGCAGCGGCGGCACAGAGCGAGCTACGCGGCCTGGTCGGACTGCTGGAACGGGTCCCGCCCCTGAGCCAGCAGCCGTACAACTCGGGAGCTGGTGCAGAGAGCTCTGAGGCGGCTCTCGAGCGCACGCACCCCAACCTCCGACGACACTATGTGACGAGTGCGGAGGGAGTTGAAAGCAGAAAAGAGAAGGTCAAAAGCGATGGCGATCGAGCAAATTCGAGACTTGGACGGGCAAGGAAGACCGGCAAAGAACAGAGCAGACAAGTGATCCCCGTCTCCCCACTCTGCAGGGATGAAAGGAAGGCAGCGGGTGAGCACAGGACGAACTATGGGGCAACTCACATAGTGCTCTACAGAGTCGCCTCCCACAGCGTGACATCCGAATCGACATACTTGGGCTCCCTGGCGGTATCGACGAGAGGTGGGCCATGCGTTAACGAGTGCTTCGAGCGCAGCGATCGTGCACGCGTCGGGGGGGTTCGAAGCGAGAATATTGAGTTGAAGTCTGATACGGTCAGCTTGGTTCATAGACGCCTGAGAATTCCAATATCGAAGCCTAGGAAGCAGAAGACTGGTAGGCGGAGCGTACATTTCTGCCACTACCTTATAGAAGATCTTGGCCTGGAGGTCTTGGTCCTGAGCCTGGAACACATCAACCTGAACCCCCAGAAGATTAAGCTGATTCATCACCTGGAAGAAGACCGAGTCCCGAGAAAATGGCATCCACCTATACGCAACCACCCAATTCGTTCCAGCCAAGATCTGTTCAAATTGTTGCAGCCTCATCTGAAAGGCCTCGCTCCGAAGACCTGCACGGCATAAAGCGGAGTGGGCAACAGCGGCAAACGGACGAGGTTGGTGAGACAGCCCAAAGTCCTTGAGCTGGCATAGTATCTCGGGGCTGAAGGAGTGTCTCGGAGCAGCGGTGAGCAACTGAAGCCCTTCTCGCTCTGCCTTCAGCACACTGTCCGCGACGGCGTGGCACTGGGCAACATAGCTCAACACAGACTGGGTGAAGATGTTATACGTCAGCATGATCATACTTAGGCCAAGCTGAAGACCACGAATGTGACGGCAACGTTTTTGATGTGCCTGAATTGGCTTGGCCCAAGAGAGCTCTCTCGCATTCAATCCTATGTAGATACCTAGGTACTTCGCGGCCTGCGCGATTTTGAATCTCTCGGCCAGGAGCCCATGAGCCCTAAACTTCTCACGAACCACGTCCAGATCAAATTCCCGAGGAAGAACAATGTACGTTTTTTTTTTCAGGATGAATAACCAGACCAGTCACCATGGATGCTGGTGCAAGCTCGCGAAAGACTTTAGGAAGCACGAACAAGATGTTGCGCGCGACTATGCCCTGGTCATCAGCGAAGACCAGGAAGTCAGACTTGTCATTCTTCAAACACTGGAGTACATATCTGTTGATGCAGTCAGCGGCCACTGCAAATATAACACCTGACATTGGGGCAGCCCTGTTTCACTCCACGCTCCAAGGAAAAAAAAACAATGGTCCTGGCACCCGCGGAAGCGGGCCCGCACACAAACACCAGAATACATATTCTTCACCGCTTGAACATACCACGAAGGAAACTGGGCTGCCCAAAAGACTGCAAAGATCCACTCATGCGAAATACTCGGGAAGGCCGCCTTCGCGTCCAGGAAGGCTGCTCCAGCATCCTGGCTCCCCTCTAATACTGACCACATATATAGCTGCGCATCTAAGTGAAAAGCATTGTCCAGCAGCTGGCGGCCTCGCGCAAAGCCGCGTTGACATTGGTGGACACAGCGCGCGGCATAGTCCGCCATCGGCCATGCGAGACAGGCGGCGATGACCTTGCAGTCGGTGTTAGACAAGGCTAGGGGGCGCGTAGCTTCAGGGTTACGAACCTGTTCAAGTTGATCCCCGAGGTCCCCTTTCGGAAGGAAGACAGCAATACTCTCCAAGAAATCGGCTGGAACAGGGTTACCTTCACAGACGAATACATACATATCGAACAACGCTAGCTGGGCAAGGTCACCTCCGTTCTGCCAAGCACTATAGGGCACTCCATCCCCACCCGGGGACGAATCACGACGTTTGGCAAGCAGGTCTTGAACGTCCGTGAATGAGACCTGCCACTGTACATCAGAAGGCGCAGGCTGAACATGAGCAAACTATCGGGGAAAACGATCCGCTGCAACAGGCTGGTGTGCAGACACTTCCCCCCAGTGCCGAGCAAGGATGCGAGCGCAGATCTGCGGGTCGTGATGCTGGGTGTCAAACTGGTCCGTGATAGCCTGAAGCGTGATCCGCTTGCGCGATGGAGACCATGCTGCAGCGAGCTCACGAATTCGAGCAACCCGCCCGTCACGAACTTTAAATGGAGCTGGTGAATTCAGAATCCCCTCCTCCATCCTGTTATAGTGCCGAGAATACAGAGAAGCAAGATGGAGATGAAGCGCTTCCCGATCAGTCCAACCCCACGCCTCCGAACAGAAGAACTGCT